TGGCCATTTTCCGCTCTCTTACTTTCCTTCTTTCATTTCTCGTTAGCACATAGGGATCTGTTAGTACAACGGGAGCCGTTGCCAGTCTCCTTCGAGGCCTTCCCCAAACCGCAGCACCAGTTCACACTTCCTCATCCCCCATTGTTACCGAGGATGTGGTCCCAGCTAGTGAAATGTTCAGCTTTATAAAAGATTAAACTTGCATTTAGGCATCAACTGTGTAAAAATCAGACTACCGAGACAATGGCAGCCAGCAGTAGGCGACTCCTCTGTTTGCAAAATGAGTCAGGATTTCTGGAATTACTTTGTTCAATCTAACCCTAGTTTAAACTTTGCAGCTCAGTTTATATCACCTGGTTATCACTACCTATAATCTGTAGTTCTAAGAATATAACCATTTTAACTTTGCAAATCATTGACTCCATTTAAAGGAAAAGAAAGACAGGTATGCTTTAGGGAGTGGCTTTGTTATTCATGACAAGTTGCTACTATGACTACAGGGTGGCACTTAGATTGTAGGTTTTGTGATGAACATGCACAAAATATGACAAAAAATCTACAATATTATTACTATTATCATTACTTTTTTTATCATTAATATATATTACTGTGCACGGTTGCCCAACAGACATCAAAAGTGACACAAAAATATAACCTTTGTTCAACACTTTTCAATTTCTTTGCTCCATTGTTGCCGTAAAACATAAGAGGTATCCATCAGCCTCAGCTAATCAGGAATTTCATGCATTACTAAATATATCCAAAGCAAAAAGGACAAAACCCCCAATGACTTTAATAGATTTACACTTTATTATTAGCACATGTTGTAATTTGCAACAGTTCAAAATTAATTCTCAAGAAGAGTCAGAATGTAAAATATTTCTTCTGCTGTAACATTGACTGTCACTATTTTGCATCAGTATCATAGGTTTGATATGGACAATAAAGTTGGTGTTATACTGAAAAAAGCACTGAACTTTAGTCCTCAGTTGAGAAAATAATGAAACTCTTACAAACAGAATCCATCACATGTTGAGACGTTAACAAAACCAAAATTCTAGCAAACAAGTTCCACACATACTGTTACTAGAAAAAAACAAGTCAGATAATCCATTTGACACTATTGGTTTCCTTCAGTCCACTCAAGTCTCCTTTGGTCTTATCCAAGCATCAGCCTTCCCACGCATTACCAGATGGTGCGTTTGACACCTGCCCAGATCGAGCGTTTCAACCCCTGTGCAGCTCGTACGTCATCCCAGTGCAGCCGGGTGTTGGGAATCTCATCCTCTGACTCTGGGTTGGGTCGTGCGCCGTCTTTGGGACTCGCCACCACCATGGGCAGAAGGCCACGCTGTGACTGAAACTCTACAACATGGAGCTGCTTCTTGTCAGCCAGAGTCTGGTGGGTTTCCTACGGAGAAACAGAAGAGGTAGACATTTTTATATGGAAACTGTTACTGGGGCTATGAACTTAGCAGCTTCTATAATATAAACTTTTTCCATAAACTTTTAGTTTTTGGAACTACAAAGTTAGTGACTTGGGAAATAAAATCCAAATGAGTATTTTCAGCAATATTTAGACAATTTTTTAAACATTATTTTCATAAAGTTTCAAAGCATCACATTTTTATAGTTAAAAAATGGCTTGAAATCTAAATATATTTTGACCGAAGAACACATGAAACCAGTGAAGTTGAGATAGCAAAAGAAAGAGAAGTTAGAGCAAAATAATGGTACCTACAGCTGCACTGACAGAGCTCGGGTGAAACAGCCATTTAGAAAATGTGCTGGATTTATAACAGAAGACATAACAAGAAAACTATTGGAAAAATAAATGCAATAACTGCTTCATCTCAAATGTCTTGTTTTCATCACCACTGAAGCCCCAAATTATAACTGAAAGTAAAATAAGATTAGTTGGCCAGAATTATTAAGGAGCCAGATATTTCCCCTCAGGGATAAACTGAGAAAAAGCTACAGGTGGAGATAATGTTGCAGTAACATTACTCAGGTGGACACAAATACAACCCCTGTCTAAACAGGCATCCATTTTCTGGGAGGTTAGCTGTACTTACAAGGTGATAATATGTCACTATTGTGTGTTCAGCATTCAGAAGGCCACCTGATATGGTGCAAATGACATCAGCAGTGAGTGTCCAGTTCCATTAGAGACCTTTACTGCAAGCCTGCTGCAGCCACTGCTCTATTTCTCTCTATTGTTACAGTGGAGTAACAGCCAAAATGCCAAAAATTATCTTTAAAAAATTAAGAAAGTTAATAAGAATCTGAACTCTTATGCTTTCATGAAAGTTTATGTTCCTGCTAAAACCTGTATGCTTTTCCAAAACCATAAAACCAATTTGTGAAAACGCCCCCAAACATTTCTTACCTGACTGGCTAATCCAGTGAAGAGAGCCCGGGTGATGTTCAGGAGATTGACTGATCCCTCTACTTTGCAATACATGTCTTTTATGCCGATCAGCTTGCAAAGAGTGATGACCGCCCTGTGGCAGTGCAGACCGTAACCTGCAGACAGACATTTTCAGGACACCACGGATATCTTAACTGCTGCTGAATGTGCAAACAGGTATCTTTCTGCTGAAAGGTCAACTGTACTTGCAACTAAGGCTGGTGGAAAATGTAAAGTTTTTTTCTTTTAGACTTTAGAAAATCGTGCAACAAAAGAGGACATTTTGGAAACGGAGATATACCTTTGTTTTGTTTTTTCATGCAGAGTGTCGTCCTCTTAAACTTGGAATCAAAGTCATGGTAAACTATTGGAAGAGAAGAACAGCAGCTTAATTATACTAACTGGCTGCAGAGCAGAGAGAAAACAAGCTGCTATACTGAAGCATAATAATCAGACAAAAATGATGCCAGAAAATTGAATTTTTTTTTCTTTACAAGCTTTGTGCCATTTGTGAATGAAAGCACCTGTGTTTTGTCATGCATCTTTTCCCCTGCTCTCCCTCAGGTCTCCTGTTTCTCTACCTGCCCACCAGATGTCCTTCCACATGCCAGTATCGCCTGCTCACTGCAGCAGCTGTGGCTAATTAGTTATTCAGCGACGCACGGTCCCTGAGAGGGAACTGTGTGCTGCTGAATGAAGCCGATATTATAGCTTCAGGTTAAAATCTTGTCCTTGCGCTAAAGCGCTTTTACACACTTCACAGGACATTGTAGATGAGGAAAATAATCAGATCACATGTAGAGAGAGCTGATTTGTAGCAGCTGCAAGAGGTCCCGCTGTTTTCTGTCAAAGTGACAAAGTCAGAGCAGAAAGAAATCTTGCCAATTCCCACATCGGAAACACTTTTCTAAACTTAAGTAACTGAAACACTGAAATAAAAGTCTAACCTAGTTCAAACCAGTTAAAATGAGTGTGGGAATTGACTGTAATATCATCCCAGGATGTTTTGTTCTCTTACAACAAAGGTGAAAACGTACCTAAATCAAACACAACCAAACTCGCTACTGCCTTTAAAGTAATTCAAATTCAAACAATAGCCACTGTAAAATCAGTGCAGCTCACTGAGTATCAGACAAACAGATTGGCTGAAACCTTGCAGCAAATAAAACTTGAGCGATGGAGCAACAAAGGCGAAAGAAAATTAAATTTATCCAGGCATAATTGGAGCTTTGATACAATTATAACATTCAAAACAAGAAAGTAAACAAATGAGTCACACTGTCAGGTTGCAGATGGACACATAGGGAGAGCTGGCATGTGGCAGCATCATCTTTCCATGAGCCTAAAAACATTTTCTCAGTTTCCAATTCAAGCTGGTTCGAAATACAGAACCACAGATATACACGCACACAAAGACACTGACGGTGACACACATGCAGTTCTTCTGGTTTTAGGCCAGAGCTGGAAGCTAACTTTCTCCTCCGGTGGGCCAGCGGAGGCCGATGACTCACGCTCATTAATCTCTCAGGCTCTGCTCTCCAAAGAAGGCCAAAGAAGCCAAATTGAGTCTTACAAATGTAGAAGCAGTGCATTTTAATTCACAAACCTTTCTTTACAAATGAATATTATAGATCATATCCTTTGTATGAGTACCAGCAGGTAATGGGAGAGTACAGTGTTGAATCAGAGGAGTACATGGAGATAAAGGTGTTGAATGAAAGTGATGCAGAGAATAGTGGGAGAAGAGGGAGTTGTAATTCTAAATTTCCTGGTACTCATGTCTTCTTCAGTTAAACCCTTCACCAATGCTCCTCTAATACTTACATAAGAACTTACACTAAATTAAACTTTTTCACACCATCATGCTTGTCTTTGCATACTGCATACGTGGCATTAAGAAGTACAAGCAATTTTCAGGAAATGAGTTTCCTCGTTAATATGCAAATTAATTTATGCAGCAATCTTCTCCAACTAAGGCTATAATCAGATAGCCTTTTCAGAGTAGAATGAAGCATGAAATTTTGATTGTTCTATATCGTGTTCATCAGATTCTGTGCACAGAGACAAAGGCTGGCAGGCATGTAATAAGTTAACATAAGCATATAATAACAGATGGAAATTTAAAATGTGAATAAACAGACCGCAGTTTTATGGAGGAAGAGAGGAAGAACGAAAGGACAAACGAAGATTCAAAGTCACTTACTGGTGTGGTCATTGTATCGTTCTATATAGTACAAGTAGTGGATGGCTCTGTTCTTGGCCTGCAAATAAGAGTTACATGATAAAAGACACACAGATTGAAATCCAGCAGTTACATTAATATAGGAAAATATATTAATACTATTAGTAGAGGCCGTGTAGTAAAGTCCTTATTATAAACATAATGAAACGCATGAAAGGAAGTCTTGAGTCT